TTAATATTTTTTGAGATGCATTTAATTGTTCTTGATATCCAATCTTATCAAATTCATTTTCAAATTCAATTTCCTTTTTATCTTTAACTATCTTTTTAATTTTATATCGTCCTCTTTTGGTTCTAGGTTTTTTATAATTTTTATTTGTCATTTTAAAATCTTGGGCTTAGTTGTATTCTTTTCTTATTTTGGATAACTTGGATGTAATTATTATTTTTAGGGGGTATTTTAGATAGTTACAAGGTTTAAAAAAGTCAAAGGCTATTTTCGAAAGGGTGTGGTTTGAATTTTGGGTATTTTCAATAATTTGCCGAAGCCGTCCCACTCCCATTTCAATCCCATCACGAGATAAAACTCCCGGCTCGGCGGCTCCCAATTCCAAACTTTGAAGCAAAATCCAGCAATTCAGTCCACACCTACCGACTGTTCCTGACCCGACTCCCTCCGTCGGCGATTAAACGATCTTAAACGGCAAAACAGGACAGCAAACGATCGAGTTGGGAGCACTGCTGGCTTTGGCTTGTACACTTGGAAATGTAAGGAGATTATTCTTGTTTTGAGCACTTTCATCTCGGGATTCAATTTCTTTTCTCTTTGACTTATTATTTCGGCCGTTTCAATTTCTATCAAAGAGAATAAGAGATTAATACTACTGAAGAAGGGTATTTCAATTTTTTATTGTGTTTTATTTCTAGAGTTTCCAGTTTCATTTTTTCCATGTATATTGAAAGTTTTTAGCATTTCCATGGAGAATATTGAAGCGGTTAATTTTAATATATTTATTGGAAATCATTGAAAGTTATTTTCTGTGATGGACAATGGATTCTGTAACTAATACCTTTCTTCCTTCATTTTCCTGCATTTTTTCATTCAAAAATGCAATTAAATCCTTTTTTTTTTTCTATTAGTTGAAATATATACTTAGTCCTGCCTGCTCCTGCGCTGCCCCGCCATTCTATTGCTACTTGCTTCCAGCCCTCCATCGTTGTCCGCCAGAGTGTTAAGGTCAGTATAATGTTCTGATTATACTTCCTGTCTGGTGGCTCCAGTCAATATCTGATTTTTGTGAATTTGTGATTGGTGAATATGTGATTTGTAAATTGTACATCTGTGATGGATATTTGTTATTTGTGGACTGTATCAAAAATTCAAAATAGATGCAGCATTATTAATGAGATTTGATTTATGAAACCGTTAATCTTAGATTCTTAGTAAAAACCTTTAGGCAATTGTGAGATTTATTTTGTGATTATTGATAGAATGATTACTTTTTTACTACCACAATTATTGTACTTACGGATGCAATTGATCAATTATTCTCCACGGATAGCTTAAATATATCTAATTTGAGAGATCAAAGATATGATGGAGCTAGTAATATGCGAGATGAGTATAATGGTTTCAAATCACTTATTTTGAAAGAAAACCCAAGTGCTTGCTATATTCATTGCTTTGCTCATCAACTTCAATAGCACTTGGAGTTGTGGCACAAAAACATCCGAAAATTGAAGCTTTCTTCACTTAAGTACACAAATTGGTGAATATTGTTGGAGGATCGGCTAAGCGGAGTGATCTTATTCGAAAGAAACAAAGACTCAAAATTCTTGAAGCACTCAGTGTTGGTGAAATATCAAGTAGACAGGGTCTCAATCAAGAAACTATTCTTAATCGTTCTGGTGATACACGTTGGGACTCTCATTACAATTGTTTGATTAACTTGATTCTCATGTTTTCAGCCACCGTTGATGTTGCTGAGGCGATTGCTACTGATACTACAAGTTTCGGAAGAAGATGTAATGCAAATATTTTATTGGAGATAATGTTAAAATTAAAATTTGAATTTACATTTAATCTACATCTTATGAGAAAGATATTGAGAATTTCAAATGAATTGTCGAAAGTATTACAAGGGAAAGATCAAGATATTGTCAATGCCATGAAATTGGTAAAATTATGTAAAGTACAGCTTCAAACCATGAGAGATGATGGATGAGATTCTTTCTTTGGAATGGTTTATTCATTCTGTAAAACGAGATAAATATTCTAAATATGGATTATATGTTTATAACTCTGGGTCTTTCACGACGTGCCACAGTGACAAATTTGCATCACTTTCGTATGGAAATGTTTTATGTCATCATTAGCATGCAACTTCAAGAATAGAATAATCGTTTTTCTGAGGTGAATAATGACTTACTCCTTTGTGTTACGTGTTTATGTCCAAATAATTCATTTGCTACTTTTGACAAGAATAAAGTGATTCGACTATATGGGTATTATCGAGTAGATTTTGACGCAATTGATATCTCGGAACTTGATGATCAATTAGATAATATATTTTTAACATGCGCACTGACGAAGATTTAGAAGGATTACAATGCCTTAGTGATCTAGCACAAAAATTGGTTGTGGAAAATAAGCATGAAGTGTATCCATTAGTCTATAAGCTTGTGACATTAGCCTTAGTTTCTCTCGTGGCTATTGCTACAATCGAGAGAGCATTTTCTACAATGAGTTACGTCAAAAATTGTCTGTGTAATCGAATTGGAGATCAATTGTTGAATGATAGTTTGATGCATATATTGAGAATGATGTATATGACAGTATTGAAAATGATGTAATTGTGGAAAGTTATCAAAATATGAAAATGTGTAGAGAACAATTGTAATAAAATATTGAATACATAAATTTTGTCGTAACTTTATTATAGGTTATATTGTGCCCCACTAACTCCAAATATCTACGTCCGCCACTGATCCATGCACCATCATTGTGTTACCGCCACCACCATCACCTACACAAGCTATAAACCACTACAAAACTAGCCCCAAACCACCAAAAAGAATTAGTTTTTTAAGGTCACCATCAACGTTGTCTTCATTACCTTGCAACATCGTCACTGTCATCACCATCCAATCTTACTGTAAGACCTTCTCAATTGAAAATCTCAGATCTAGATAACAATGAAGGGAGGAAAACAAATCTATAATCGGAGATGAAAAAGATCGAATTCGTGAATTTAGATTTTAGTGAATTGATATATTTAGTTGTTCTAGGGTTTGGGAAGGAGCAACATAGCTGGTTGGTAGGGTTGACAATTTTAGTGATGTTCAGTAAGAAGTCAGAAGATGGCTATTAAAGGAGATCATTATGGCAGCAGCAAAGCGTCAACGCGGTGATAGGTAGTGGTGATGGTGAGAGTCGTCGAAAGTGGTGGAGGTGGGGATTAATTTGAGAGAGAGAGAGATGGGTGGGGTAGAGGAAAGGTTTTGGAGGTGGGCGTAGGTGTAAACGATAGAGAGAAGAAGTAAGGGGAGGAGTTATTCTAGGATTTTTTTTAATGGTACCAGCAGATTTGTACATATGTTTAACAAACACCTGATTTTTGAACTTTTAAACATATTTATATGATTGGAACTAATTTCTCTTCTTAATTTAAGTTTTCAAATAATTTGATCAAAGTTCCTATAAATTTTTGTCAAGATTTCAAAATTTTATTAAAAACTTATAAAAAAAGGGAGAAAAAAACCCTTTTGGAGTTTGGAGAGAACATTGGCATCTTAGCCGAGGCTGCCTTGGGCCAAAGCCACTAAGGCAATTACCTAGGGCCTCCAAGGCTGAAGCCTCAGAAAATAAAAAACAAACAACAAAAACAAAAAAAACCCCTAAGTTTTCCATAATTTCTTTCGTGTAAACTCTTCGTTTAAATATTAGTATGCTATTTATTTAAATATTTAATGTTGTTACACTTGTAAAAAATTCTCTATAAGGATCTCATAATAAATAGTTGCCTAGAAGTCTTGTGCAACATAGACTATAAACTTCAAGAATATTGACCAAAATATCGATGTTCTTTGTAGCATTGAGCTTTAAGTTTAATGTCTATTGTGGATTGGTTTAAATTTTAGAAATTTTTTGTGTTTATCTTGAAGAAAGTCAGAACGGTGATTGAGCAATTTTGATAATGTAGAAGACTTAATTTTTCTGAAGTTGTTAAAGGAATTACAATTGTAGATAACAATTTACATAAACATGAGATAGATGTGAAAAATTAAATTAAGCAACAACTCAATTTTTCTAATGCAAGACATAATTTTTGTGTTGTAGTTGCTGAAGTACTTTTGTCGGAATGCATCTGATTTGAATTGTTATGGCTTCAGGATGAGGGCTATGAAGAGGTGTAACAGAACACCTGGGGTCTGGAGGTTGGACGACGAAACAGATAAATCCATTTGGCTACTTACAGAAAAATCTTGTTTCCGTAAAGTAATGCCTTGCTAGGATGCAGTGGGAGGAAATTTGGTCAGTGGCACAATCAATTAAAGAAGCAGAACACTCGATCAGTAGAGCTATATAAATTCCCCAGCCGTGCCAGTTTTATGGTAGATGTTGGAAAACTAGAACCGCCCACTAATGAACTGATTTAGGAGGAGGAGTTGTCGAGTTGACACGAAGGTATCTAACAGAAGCTAGACTGGATGACAGTGAGGGAAGGTGATGGGTGGAGGTTGGTCAGATTATTAAGGTGCTACAAAATTATTTTTAGTGAGATATTTCAGAGTTGTGAACTGCTGGAGAAAGAGTTGATAGTAAGGAAATAAGTTCGACTTTGACTGAGGAAGAAATGACTGGCATAGATGCGCCTTATACGGTGGAGGAGGTGCAGTTAGCATTGAAACTGATGGCTCCAACTAATGCTTAGATGATGGATGGTTTTTTGAGATATTTTTCCAGAGACACCAGGATCTACTGGGGCATGATATCTTAAACATGTCACTTGAGGTCCTAATCAATGGCAAATCTTCCATAAATTCTACAAATTTGGTTCTTATCGCTAAGTAATCGAGCCCAGAATATGTGATGGCTTTCGATTCATTAGGCTTTGCAGTGTGGTGTATATAAGTATTTTCAAAGGGAAAATGCTAATAGCTTAAATTTGTCACTCTCTTATTTCAGAGTATCAAAGTGAATTTTTTCCTAGCCTCTAGATTAATAATAATATCATTATTGCCTTTGAGACTTTTGCATTTCATCAATGTAATGAAAGAATGGTTTCTTGGCTCTAAAACTTGATGACTGAGGCCTATAGCTATATTGAATGGTGCTTTGTATTGAAGGTAATAGAAAAGATTGGGTATTCGGCAAGAAGGGTTCTGCTGGTCAATGATAATATCTACTTCATTTGCCTTTTATTTTTAAGATATTGTGCTGGGTAGAGTGATACAAACGATGGGCCTTAGACCTGTGTGTTCTTAATGCATGAAGAGGCTCAATCAGGCTTATTTCGGATTGCAGAGAAAGTTGGTTAATTGGTATGCATTGTGTTAAAGCAGGTCCTAAATTGATCCCCCTATTTTCTCCTAATGGTTCTTTGATATTTTTTCGTGTTAGAGTTAAGTTGTAAAACGTTATTAAATATTATACTACCTAAAACAGAGCCTCGGGGCAGAGAGTTAATTTGAAGAAGTTGGCAGTTACTTTTAGTCTAAACATGAAGACGCGGATAGAGGAAGTACAGATGTTTGGGTTGCTGAAATAATTGGAATTATTTATAATGTGAATTGGAATATGTCTCCAATAGGTGTCTCTTCAATTGTAAAAGATGCACATGAAGAGTCATATTGCTTAAAATGGATGTGACTATTTAAAAGGTGTATGATGAAAAGCCATGACCATTTGATAGGGTGTATACTACACCATTTAATGTGAAAAGATGTGGTCTATGTTAAGAGATGAAGCCATTCAACAAGTCACTTGAAAATCTATAAATAGAGACCTTTAGTTCTTTTTTTTTCCTACGCCAAATAAATTTAAATTATTATGGATTTCTAATTCTCTCCTCCAAAAATTCGACCTTCGAATTATTTTGAGAAATAAAATTAACCGTCCTTACTGTCGTAAAATAAGAGCACCTTGCTTTGCCCATTCACAAGGACTTGATTCTATGTCCAAATCTGTTCGAGTTTTTAATTTGTGTCTATTCCGTTCAAGAAGAAAATTGTCT